CGCCAGCCCCGCTCCTCCAATCCCGCCAAACGCCAAGGCAGGAGGTGTGCAGGCTGCTGACCGAGCCGGAGGAGGTGGCAGCCTGGGGAGGGACAACGGGGTTTGCTGACACTGTGCCGTCATATGCGCGCCTTAAAAGTGAGCCCAAAAGGCCCGGTGGGAAAGGAGAAACGTGACCTTTTTTTTTTTTGATTGCATCTGTATCTTTGAGCTAGCTCTCGCCGGCTAACCCCCAGCACTACCGCGTGCGGGCATAGTCCAGCGCTAGCACAGAAGGAAACCAGCTAGATCGCTTAGCGGGATCCTTTTGTTTCTTGGCTGTTTGGAGGCAGCAGGAAGGAGCACAGGTTTCCTTGGCCAGGGCCAGCTTCTCCCCCCGCCCCGGGAAGGCTGTGACAGCAGGATGCGGCACCAGCGGGGTGCACTGGGCCTGTGATCCTACCTTCTGGACGGGGTGCCTTTCTCCACCTGGTCCTTGATCCCACGGGAGGCGTCTGACCCGCTCGTCCCGATTTGGCGTCGGAGCTGTCTGGGTTCACTGTGGGAGCTGCGGCAGTCGGGCACGCTGCTGCTGAAGTGGGCCAGCCCCCGGGAGCGCCCTTGATGCTGTGTTTCACCTGGGTTGCTCCCGGCCGGGAGCAGCCCAGCTTGCACGTGGTGAACGTGGTGAACAGAAGGTGCCACCCAGCTGGCAGTCATCAGCTGGAGGGAAGAAACAAAGCCAGACATCCTTAAATGGTCTGACTGAGGGCCCTCCTACCCTGCAAAACCCTCCCAGAGCATCTCAGTTAGGGCTCACATCTGAAGGTGGGACGTGGCCCGGCCCCTGCCTCAGTTTCCCTGCCGCTCCCACAAGGGTAGCAGCGCTGGGCGACCCCGCTCCTCCCCGCCCCCCCCCCCCCCCCCTCCCGTAACCACGCAAGCCATCCTTGTGACCTGAATTGCTGCTCCTGGCATGGCAGCGCCCACTGGCAGCCCCGGCTCTGTGCGCGGCTCGCTGTGCCACTCCCCTGGACTCGGCAGCACTGTTGCTGTAGGCTCCCTCCCACGCTTCCCAAAATAAAACTGTGTGCTAGTTTTGTGTGATGGCATCTTCTGCTCCCTTCCAGGCTTGGTGTGGGATTGTCAGCCCCAACCGTACTAATGCTCAGGCAGGAGCGTGCTCCTAAGTCACAGCCCTGTCACAAAAACGTGCAGGAAGGGGAGCTTGTTCCTGCCTCTCGGGAGCCTCAGTGGCTCTTTGACCTGAGCAGTCTTTCTGGTGGGGTTTCCCTTCCCCTGGCAGCTGCAGCCCTGACTTTACTAGGAGGGAGCAGGTGATGCTAGCAGGCTTCCTGCTGCAATAACAGAATCCTTGCTCCACAGCCCAGCAGCTTCTCTGTGGGCATCCTGCAAAGCTCTGGCCCTGCCCGGCACCAAAAAAATGGATGTTGCAAGCTGGACCCTGGTGCCTGCCCTGAGACACCTCCTGTTTCGAGGACGGCGGCGGTACCGGTCCAGGTTAATGAGAGCACGGCACGAGGTGCTCCTGTGCAGCTGTGCCTCTGAGGCCCTCTGCACGGCCCCTTCTTCGACGTGACAGTCAAAAGATGTAGGAGCTTGTTCTGGTGCCTTACGCTGTGGCCACAGCAACAGCCCAGCTCCAAAAACACCTCGGGACATCGGTGCCTTTCTGCCAACCCAAATCTCTTGGAGAGGTCGGTGGGTCCCCTGCTTCACCCGAATATCAAAAGCAAGCTGCTAAGCAGGGCTGGAACGTGAGGACCGTGTGCGTGCCTGTCGCCTGCAGCGAGGCAGATCTCTTGTACGTCCGAGGCAGGCTTTTCTCCACGGCATGGAGATGCATTTGAATAGATGCAAAGACTGGGCCAAGATCAGCGCTCCTGCAGAGTATGTGAAAATCACGGGAACCCCTTCCCATCGCCTCGACTGTGGCCGGACAAGCTCAGGTAACAGCCCCTTGTTCAAGGAAGCCTGACGGCCTATTGGGCACTGGAACGGGGCAGAGCCCTGGGGTGCTGGCAGAAGGACAGAGTGCCCTGAGGTCTTCTGACGAGCGTCTGCAAGCCATGAACGATGTGGCATGCAGGCGATGCCCTGGCTTGTGAGCACTTGGCTCTGCCAGCTGCTTTGGCAGTGCATGCAGGCCCTGCTGGGGAAAGGACTGTGCAAGGAGCCTGCAACAAGGACCTCTGCTGACACCAAAATTGGCTGTGGCCCAGCTTCTCACACCAGTCCGGCTCGCTCCAGCGCCGATGCTGCCCCACAGTGGCTGCAACAGTGAAAGGTAGCTTGAAATTGGACTCAGACTGGACTGGACTAGGGGCAGGAGCCTGGTCCTGGGAGCCTGCCAGGTCCCCTAGGCTGGCAGAAAGGGCCGTCTGGCTCTTGCTCCAAGGGACCAAAGGATGGAGGAAACCCTTACCTCAACTCATGACCCCCTGCACATAAGCCATCTGGGGAAGCGCTCCTTGATTGCATTCAACGGCTCGTATCTGTAACACATCCATCTTCGAGGAAAGACGTCCCTGCAAAGCCCCACCGAGATGTAACAGCTGGGCCCGGCTGTTCCTCCTCTGCAGTCTCAGAAAAATGTGCCTCTTCCCAGCTTGGCTTTGGCTCAGACTGAGGTTGCCTTCCCTCCCTAGATAAAGAGCCCTCCAGGATTTGTATTTTTTTTTCCCATGGGGGCTTCCATACACAGTAATCAAGCCACTTCTCAGTTGTTTTGGTGAGCCGTATTAAACTCTACATTTCTCACTGCTGGGCACTAGCGCCATTAGATTATTTTTATGACTTTCTTGCAACTTTTGGATTGCTGAATGTCCTCTTTTTTTTTTTTTTTTCCTTTAAAAGCCCAGCCCACAAGTGCTGCACAGTGCTTCTGGTGTCTGATTCACCAGCACCATTCCCAAGCAAAACCCAAGATCTTCCCTAGAGCACGTCGGGGAGGCCCTGCCCCATCCTGTGCCCCGTATCCTGACCTCTGCCACCCCATCTTCCTCGGGACCGTGTGCAGTACAGGATCACTGGCCTCCCTAATGCATCCACCTTCATCCCATTCCCATTTCTGTTGTCCAGCCAGATCCAGGTCATTGCTTCCGCCCTCCCTGCGATGAAACGCAAGCTGTCTTGCAGTGTCCTCCAGTTTCCCTGGTATTCTGCTCTTCATTAAAAATTCTCATCAGCTGAGCTCCTGGGTCCGAGCCTAGACCTGCTGATTTTAAATATTTATCTCTCATAGCTGATCTGACATCCTCCTCCCTTGCTAATGGGCTAGAAAGCACTTCAGTGCACCTGGGTGGGAAGCGTAAATCATCTTGCTGCTTGCCAAACACAGAGCAGAGACTGAATGTGTCTCCATGCCGGTATTGGTACCAATTTTGCCATTTTTCAGCTCATAATACGTCTGTGTCATGGCTGAGGTTTCTTTTGTTCCTAAAACTTCCACATGCAATTGAAAAGTCGGTGCCTGGAAATACAGCACAAGCCTGGTTCTAAATGGGAGCTGTTTAGAAAAGAAAAGTGAATGAAACGTGAAGAACTGAGGCACAACTGGGTGTAAATTTTTATACTCAGATGTGATTTTTTTTTTCCTCATTACTCAGCTGCACTGAGGAGGGAGGGTAGTAAAGTGCCGTGCCTGCTCGTTTCCACGCGAGCGCTCGTGGCGGCCGCAAAGGTAACTCCTGTGCGGCAGACCGTCCCCAGGGACCACGGTGCGTGCAGAAGCGACCCTGGGCTTTGAACCTACCTCGAGGTTGAGCTCGCTCGCTGCCTGCGATGCCCCATCACTTTGCAGCTGTGACGCAGAGACACGGGGTGCTCCGAGCGTCACAAGCGGCATGCAGATCGTGCCCAAATGTAGCTGCCACGTGTAGATGGCCCCCGTTGCTTTCCTGTGCCCAGATCCTCCTCCTCAGTGTCTGCCATGTGCCTGACTCTCCCCAGGATGAACCAGGCCCCCACGGTGGGGTTCGAAGGCGACGTGGGGAGTCGGACCACTCATCACTTCATGTACCCGGAAAGTGCCAAGAACCTGCCTGCCAATGTCAGCTTTGTGCTGGTGCCCTTCAAAACCCTGGACCTGCTCTGGATTGCGAGTGCCCTCTCCACTGGCCAGATCAGATTGTAAGTACCTGGCAAGGCACGGGGCAGCAACAGCCCCGGCTGGCCGCAGGTTTTCATGGTACCTGCCTCTGTATGCTCCCCGTGTTAGATCATGCAGGCAGCACTGCCTAGTGGCTGTGTAGCTTCTTCCACTGGCTCACCGTGCTGGGAGCAATGAATATGCATTGCTGGTGCTTTGGCTGGGGCTCCAACCGGTTTCTCTCCTCTCCTTTCCCCCAGGAACATCTGAGCGCCTGTACCGAAGCGTCTCCCTTCTCTTGTTAGCTTGGGTCGGGGCTGTGGTAGGCTTGCGTCCCAAAGGAGATAACCTGTCTCTGCTTTTTTTTTTTCAGCACGTATGCACCCGTGAAGCCTTTTCTGCGGGTGGACAAAGAAAAGGTAAGGCCAACTCCACGGGCTCTTCTCTTCCACCATGCCAGCTGCCTGGGGTGGGGAAAGCCTCAGGAGACTGTCCTGCCTGTTGCCTCCTCCCGAGATGAGCCCCACTGCTTAGCTCTTCCCCAGGGACTGCGGCTGCCTGGGCTGCCAGGTTGGCACAAGCCCACTTTTCTCCATGGCTTCCCCGCATGCAGAGAAGCTCTGCAGAAGTAGCTGCATCTTCCCCTTGGGTTCCGACAAACTTCTTGGCTCTCCTTCCCGAGCCGCTGGCTTTGGAAGGGAAGGTGGTGCTGGGCCGGCCCAGTGGCCAGGGTCTTCCCTCGGGAGGACAGGCTGGGGGTGGCCAGGGACAGCACCCTGGGCTGTTCCATTAGTCTGTGCCCACCACAGTCCTCACACACTGCTCTAGAGCTTAACTCGGCCTGTCCTCCTAGGTGCAGATCTACAACCCTGCCTTCTTCAAGTACATCCACGACCGCTGGACGGAGCACCATGGGCGATACCCCTCCACCGGCATGTTGGTGCTCTTCTTCGCGCTTCATGTTTGTGATGAGGTAGGTCACGGCCTGAGCCCCGACAGCTCAGCGTATGCCATGGGGCTCCTTGGTGCGCTTCCTTCTTGGACGTTCGTCATCCTGCATGCTGCGCTGGGAGGGATGAGCAGGCCAGGAGGGCCTGCATGATCCTGACCAGGATCCTGGGCCATGGCATTGCTAAGGTCACCCCGATTCTACCAGGCTCACCCTTGCGCAGTGGCCTGCTTTGGGAGGGTGGGTTTGCTCTGGACACGGGCAGCTCCCTGCTGTGCTACGTCTGGGAAAGAGCACTCCCTCCAGGGCCCATCGCCTTGGCGTTGCTCACTGATTGAGACCCTCTGAGCTGTTTCCTGGAGCTCCCCCGTAACCGCAGCACCCGGGCCCTTGCCTCGGGACACCCACAGCTCCAGCCGGTCAGTCCCGGGGAAGGGGTGAGCTCTGCCTCTGCTGTTGCAGGGCTAAGGAGGGAGGCAGCACTGGCTGTAGGGTAAAATTAGAGCAGGGTCTTGTTTGCAGGGTCCGTTTGCCTAAAAGCATGCCGATGGGCAGCCTGTGAATATCTTTAAAGCTTCAGCGGTATCCAGGAAGGCCGTGTGGGGGAAACTGCATGTTCGGCTCCCGCGGTACAGTGCCAAATCCTGCCCCCACACTGAAGTGGATGCTCGTTCAGCAACCGGCATCTGGCTTTAGCAAGCAGATCGCCCGCGGAGTGCCTTTGCCCGGTCAGCCAGGCTCCCGGGGCCCGCCGGGCCGGCAGGGCTGCATGTGGCTGACCGTCCCCTCCTTGCCACCGGCAGGTGAACGTCTTCGGGTTCGGTGCTGACAGCCGAGGCAACTGGCACCACTACTGGGAGAACAACCGCTACGCCGGGGAGTTCAGGAAGACCGGGGTGCACGATGCCGACTTCGAGGCTCACATCATCGACATGCTGGCCAAAACCAGCAAGATCGAGGTTTACCGGGGCAACTGAGGGGCCTGACGACTGCGAGTCCTCCAGCTTGCTTTTGCCAATCAGGTTTCCGTGGCGCGGGGGGACTCCCGCAGCCGCCTGGGCGATGGAGCTGCCCCACGGGGTATTTGGTGCCTCCAGCCAATCAGGTTCAGAGCTAAAAAGGAGACTTTTTTTTAATTAATATTATTATTATTAAGAAACCTGTTTCAGCTGAGAAGGATTTACAAACACAATCAGTGACTGACTGGACGGCGGGAGCGTCCGACTTGCATCTCTTTACAGTCAAACCAAATGCTGCTCTTTTTAAAACAAGAAAAAAAAAAAAAAAAAAAGAAACCCGGCGACTTTGGGGAAACTCCAAGCAATCATGTCCCGGGACAAGGTAGAAATGATTTTTGAACAATCAGTTTTCCCCTCCCTGATGGCACCGTCTCGCAACGCAATGACATTAGTGTCTTACAGACACCAGCGCTGGCTAACCTGAGGAAAGGGGCTGAGTTATTTAACCCCGCGTGCTGCTGCTGAGCTCACCGAGACCTCCTCCGGTTCTGCTTGGTCCTTGAGCACAAGTGTGGCAGCAGCTGGCTTCTTCGTTCTTCCTTTGTTTTGATTTTTTTCCCTCTTGGGCAGCCGCAGTGGCTTTCCCAGAGGAAGCCTCCCATTGTACAATCAGGTCCTGGAGACATCTGTTTGTATGCGCAGTTGCAATCGTTTGGCTCTGGCGCTGGAGAAGGTGGGGGGGGGGGGGCTATGGACTCTTTTGGCATT